CTCCCAAGCCCATGTGTACAGTTCTGTTAAAAGCAATTTCTGGATTTCAATTATATATTTTGAAATGTTCTCTGGATTTGAAGGTGTCCACACAGCACCGCAAAATTTGAAAAGAAAATAGCAGAGACAGGCGGTAATTCTATAAAGCATTGCATTTCATAGAGGTGTCTGTAAATATGTGAAATTGAGAGAACGCGTTAGCTGCAGTCCGTTAGCGCCATCTACTGATTGTCCTTAACAGTAGAATTATGGGGTTTCTGCTGCAGTAGAATCCAATCCTTCATTTTTCTAGTTGAACATAAAAAATAAGAGGACTCTGTGTAATGCAACACAGCTCTTGGTTCTGCCAGAAATTAATCCACAAGTGATGTGTTTACAATAGATAAAACAATATTCACAGTGCAGATCAAAATACAGCAGGCTGCAGTAAACTAGGTGTTTGGCTGTGCTGTCATTTTATTTTAGTATTTAAATCTTTGATTTTCCATGATATGAACACAATATACGCTACACGTTCTGTGAATGAGGTGGTTCTGTGATATACTCATACAACGCATATTACTGTGAGTTTTACTGCTGTGGAGCTCTGTGATATACTCATACAACGCATATTACTGTGAGTTTTACTGCTGTGGAGCTCTGTGATATATACTCGCTGGCATATTACTGTGGTTTACTGCTTTGCGGAGCTCCTCACACTAATCCTCTCCTTGCCCTCTTACTGTAGAGTTTCCTACTGCTGGAAGCTCTGTTGATATATAATACAACACATTACTGCCAGTTTTACTACAGCTGTGAACTCTGTGATCTCTCGCACAAGTACTGTTCACCTGCTAGGTTTACCACCGAGAACTCTCTTGATACTCGCCACAGCACTTTATTACTATTAGGATTTTACTGCTGGGGGCTCTGGCGATATACTCGTAGCGCATTACTGTGGTTTTACTGCTGGGAAGCTCTGTGATGTCCGCTCATGGCGCCCGTACTGGGTTTACTGGGGAGCTCTGTGATATACTCATACAACACATATTACTGTGAGTTTTACTGCTGTGGAGCTCTGTGATATACTCATACAATGCATATTACTGTGAGTTTTACTGCTGTGGAGCTCTGTGATATACTCATACAATGCATATTACTGTGAGTTTTACTGCTGTGGAGCTCTGTGATATACTCATACAATGCATATTACTGTTAGTTTTACTGCAGGGGAGCTCTGTGATGTACTCATACAATGCACATTACTGTGAGTTTTACAGCTGTGGAGCTCTGTGATATGCTTTTACATGCTGCCTATTAGTGTGAGTTCTTCAGTTCTGGAGTTCTGTGATATACTCATACAACACATATTACTGTGAGTTTTACTGCTGTGGAGCTCTGTGATATACTCATACAACACATATTACTGTGAGTTTTACAGCTGTGGAGCTCTGTGATATACTCATACAATGCATATAACTGTGAGTTTTACAGCTGTGAAAATGACGACTATATTAACTAGTACAATACAGACATTAACATTGTGCTTGCCTATAACAATTGTTACCTATTTTTTCAATTTAATGTTCTTTAAAGGGTCTTTTGTTTCATTGTATAAACATATCTACCTGCACAAATAAATAAATGAATGAATGAATGGAGTAAATGAAGCACATTTGGATGGTTAGGATTTCCGTAGCATTCACCATTTGCACCAAGTATTTAGAAACTAAGAATGCTACATACAGTCCATGACCAAAGCTTGTACAGTGTAACATAGTACTGGGTCAATGAATCTCTGTGACATTATCTTTGTGCGGCTGAAGGGTTCCTCCCTGATAAAGTGGCATTTAGTTTCTATTATAGATTATTCTAGATGTGATGCTGTTACCAAATCACTATTATTATCAGGGCTTGGGATTAACAGAAACTGTGTGGCTGCAATAAATGTAATGGAGACAGCAGACATGGTCAACGCTTTACCGAATAGAGCTCTGAGCTATGATTTTTTTAAAGTGTGTTTCTGATTAAATTATTCATTTTTAAATTACTTCAAAGTCATTTAAAGGTTAAGCTTGATGGACTTTGGTCTTTTTTCGACCTAGATTAGATTACTTTGTAATGTGATTACCTAGCATTAATCGTGGTATATTTACCTACAGTCCATCTCTGGTCAGAACCTATTAGTGAGTATTGGGTCAGGTTCAGTGTGGTGAAGTTTAAAGAAGGCGGGGAGTTGTCTTGTTGGGCTTGCGATTCCCTGTTCAATGGTAGCTGCATCTCCAGCCATCAATAAAGAGGAGAATGGGAGTAAAAGATATCGTCACAACAGACAAACTGTTTATTTTTATGACACACTTACCCATAGTCCTTACAATGCAAATTAATTAGATTTTTATTTTACTGCAACAATAGCTGATGGGGCACTGCTCCATCTTCTCCTGTGGACCAACCCCTTATGGTCAGTTTCCAAAACAGTGAATTTTAGAGGTTTGTTACATACTTACACAGTTACATAGCTTAAAAGAGACTTGCGTCCATCAAGTTCAGCCTTCCTCGCATTTGTTTTTTGCTGTTGATCCAAAAGAAGGCAAAAAACCCAGTTTGAAGCACAATTTTGCAACAAGCTAGGAAAAAAATTCCTTCTTGACCCCAGAATGGCAGTCAGATTTATCCTTGGATCAAGCAGTTATTACCCTACATTGAATGATTATATCCTTGAATATTCTGTTCTTGCAAGTATGCATCTAGTAGCTGTTTGAACATCTGTATGGACTCTGATAAAACCACTTCTTCAGGCAGAGAATTCCACATCCTGATTGTTCTTACAGTAAAAAAAAAACTTTCCTTTGCCTTAGACGAAATCTTCTTTCTTCCAGTCTAAACGCATGGCCTCGTGTCCTATGTAAAGTCCGGTTTGTGAATAGATTTCCACACAATGGTTTATATTGGCCCCGAATATATTTGTATAATGTTATCATATCCCCTCTCAGGCGACGTTTTTCTAAACTAAATAGGTTTAAATTTGTTAACCTTTCTTCATAGCTGATATGCTCCATTCCTTTTATTAATTTTGTAGCCCGCCTCTGCACTTTTTCTAGTGCCATAATATCCTTCTTTAGAACAGGTGCCCAAAATTGCACAGCATATTCAATATGGGGTCTTACCAGTGATTTATAAAGAGGTAAAATTATATTCTTGTCCCGAGAATGAATGCCCTTTTTCATGCATGACAATACCTTACTGGCCTTGGCCACTGCTGATTGACATTGCACATTGTTGCATAGTTTGTTGTCTATAACAATTCCCAAGTCATTTTCGTGTGTTGTTATCCCTAATTCGCTTCCATTAAGGGTATACGTTGCTTGTGTATTCTTTACGCCAAAGTGAAAAAACATATTGCTTGTGATATGTTTTCAAATTTCATCCATAAACAACAGCGTGGGAATTTTTTTTAACTTTGCTGAATTGGAGATATTTTATTCCAGCTCATCTGTTTTAGCGTACATTGTGAAAGTCTTTCATAAATCTGTGCTTTATGATATGGAATGTTAATCCTACCAGCAATGCTTTAAAAATGTCTGAGCAATGGCATACCAACATTGGGAGGAAAGAGATTGGGATGAGTCAGTGGGCCAATTGGGCCCTGAGGGGGCAACGCCAGTGAAAAAGGTGCAGGCCCAAGCACATGGACACTGAAGAGGCCCTACCCACAGGACCTTATAGGGTTCTAGCTCCCCTTCAGAGCCGAGGACAGTTCGAAATCGAGATGGTTGGACAGGACCAGGAAATCAAGTCTCTAGGACTATTGGGGAACCTGCAATGGGATATGGGTAAAAGTGTGAGTCTGGACAAAGGGAGTGAAATTTATTTGCTTTCATTGACGCTATAAACTCAGCCGTACTGTTTGTTCTTTCCATTGTTGCTTAATCCAACTGCCGCTTTAAAGACAAAAAAAGAACGGACTAAGGCTGACAGCTGGTATCAATACGAAACATCAAGTTTAACCCCTTAAGGACACATGACATGTGTGACATGTCATGATTCCCTTTTATTCCAGAAGTTTGGTCCTTAAAGGGTTAAATGTTTACTTACAGGTTCCTTCATCTGTTGTGTTGTTCTGTGTGTGCATTTTGTCTGCACGTCTCTCAGGTTTTGTTGATTTGTGATCAACACGTTTTTGTTTGTGGCCAAAAAAATTTAAAATCTTTAACATTTTATCTGTATCGATGTCAAATCGTTTGGGTAAACCACATGGTAAATCCTATCTTGGCTTAACCTTCAGGTGTTCCAGTCTTTGGCTCTGCGTAGCCTGCTATAGAAAATACCAAATAGAAATTAACTAATAAAATCAAATCATAAATGAAGGAACTCCCCCACTGTACTTGAACAAGGTGTTTAATTTAGAAATATTTATGCATAGATTGTTCCTCCCACCATCCATTCCTTGAATTTTCGACCCTCTCTCCACTATTTCAACTCCTTTCCTCCTCTCTTTATATTTACGTCTCAGTCCTTTCTGTACAAATAAGAGATCACATTTCTTCTGGTAGTTTAGTTAAACGTATTATTCAGATCATTGCTGAGATTGTAGCCTCTGCCTTTGCTAGGTGTATTTAGCCTCGTTTCAGGATCAGAATCTGGTTTTGCAGATTTTAGAATCAAATCTTATTTTGAGGGCATAGACTGCATTCTCTGTGTTTTTCAATGCTAATCAATTCTATTTTCTTTAAATCATTGGTTGCGCTTCTTCACAGCAGTGTCTGCATTTGGTTAATTAGGTGCAATGCTCGTTAATTCGAGGGACTAATGATGGCACTTTTATACTTAGGTCAGTGTTTTAACACCTTGTCATTCACATTTCATACCTCTAATTAACTTGGGATGAAATCCCCTTGCGTTGAATAGTCATTTCATTTTCATTTGAAAGGTACATTTTGACCAGCAATACATCTATCATTGCCAGTATTTAAGTGCAGGTATAAAATAAAGCGAGTTTAGTTGCTGGATACATTTGTCAGACTGGAGTTACATGCCAGATGTATGTTGACACAGTAGAAAAAGGCTGGATACCACATCCAGTTAATTGCAAAATAACTATAAATAAATCAAAAAATGAAACACAACTGTCATCAAGCGTCTGGGGCAGCCAGCCAAGACCTCACCTTCAGTCTGATCCAGAGGCACTGGGGAGTGGCCTTCCACATGGCGGGCGACAGCTTCCTACACAAACGAACAGGCTGAAGACACAACAGCAACAGTCGGATCTCTCACAGCGTCTGGAGGCGATCTTCAACCGCTTCTGGGATGGTCTGAGGGAGCGGCAAACAGCGGCCCGACCCGATATGCCAGCACCACAGATGGCAGGAGAACAGAACTGCAAAAGGCAGGAGGTGAGAGGAAAACCCTTGAGCACACAGCTACCGCACACTTCTACCCACACACTCCCTGGCCCACCCAGGTTGCAGACCACAGGGCTAAAAGCCCAGAGGCATCGCCCACACAGATGGAGGCATAAGCACCACAAACGACAGACGACAATCAGACCCTCCATCCCTCCCACACGTTGAGAATACTCGAACCCCACAGGTGACCAAGTTTGTGGCCAAGAGATGCAGGCCTGCATACCAGCCTGGGGCTGGAGAGACATTCTCACCCCCGCCTGCATCGCAGCAAACAGCCGAGACCCAATGATAAGCTCCTGCCGTTCCCTGAAAGTAGGCATCGGTTGAAAGGGACTTTACCCAAGGCCTCCTGAACCCGTTATAAAATGGACATGTCATAGCTTTGGTCCTGTCATGCCACACAACTAGACCGTGGAATATACCGGGCAGCACGACACTCAAGATGTCCCCAGACCACAGTGAACAACCTCACTTTGACTTAGCATGTATTCAATTTCTTATCTTCCATATATTTTATCTAGCAACTAGATGTGTTCTTTTAGCATGTAAACTGCATAGGTTACAGGACTAGCCAGTTACTACACTACTAAATGCTGAGACATGTAGGCTTTTCGTGTAACCATGTCTACACATGTTTTGTCACTGCTTTACACTCAATAGATACTAAATTGTGAATAATCTTGCTAAACCACATACTAACTATAAAATTGTGCAAGTACTAACATACCCCTTACTGTTATGAATGTTTATAAAAAAAAGCATGAGGATTGCCGTTGGGGTACCCCATGCACGTTGTTCTTTCATATGCACTGCAAAAAAAAAAAGAAAAAAGAAAAGAATATTCATCTTCTACCAGGCTTGGCAACCACTTAATGCGAACATCCTATAGCCTCTCCGAGGCTGCGCCTCTTTAATGTAGAGCCAATGTCTGTGATCTGCTTATCAATGCCTCTGCGCATGAACATGACTGTCATTCTAGCGGTCCCTGACTCTCCTGTCTCCTTGTTGGTTCATTATTTTTGACATTACGATTAACATAGCTTTAGCCAAGCTACCCTAAACACTGGTACATACTGATATCCTTTCTTCTCTGTATTATTACCTCACTAGGCGTTTAAGTTTTAATCATGTTTGTGATAATAATAAGATGTGTCTAATTGTCACATAACTACAGGTAAGAAACTAAATGGGGGGCAGTTTGGACAGAAAGTTCTGCATCAGAGTGTGCCCTGGGGAAACTTATCAACTGACTGAACAGAGATATTATGATGACATACAGGCACACATTCTGTGCCATCCGTAAAAAGAGGAACTGGCTTGTAAATCCGTTCCCAAGCAAATATAAACCAGACTGTGATTTAAGTCGCAAATCTAAGAAAATTATACATCATGTTAACAGCAGTCTTAATTAAAGGGAGAATTGAAAATTTAGGGCCAAAATAGCTGATCTGTTAGTTTGGGCTAATATAAGAAATCTAGTTGTAACCTATCTCTGAACTCCCCAAATTTCTCACTTTAGCAGATACCCTGAATCTCTTACCCAAACTTAACGGAATGATGAAATGCTTCGCAATTACTTCTGTTGTGTATCTTAAAATCAAACCTTTTCAACTAAGTGTCTAATTTAAAAAAATTAACTTTAGTGAACATAGGGTCCTAAAATATATTGTTCTGACATCAATTTCTTCAGTATTGTTGAGAGATATAGAAATCAGTCCTGGTGGGCAGCCTGCCAGCTCAGTCTTTGACACAACATAAGCATTAAAATCGATGTGTGTATTATGATAATGGATTGATTATTCAGAGAAATAATTCTAATCAGGATTAAGAAGACGTGGAACGTCTATAACTATGTAAAATAACTTAAAAGGTTAATATATGTTGAAATTAAAAAAAAAAAAAAGTTCTGCATTTATTTTATATTTTTTTAAAAACAGAATACGTGTGGATAAATGAATATGCTTGGGGATGGTGTATCGAACCAAGGAGTAATCTGATTGCCAATATGGGGTCAATAATAATTTTTCCTTTTATGGCAAAAGTGGGAAACACTTCATTTTAGGATCTCGTATTCTTTTTGGATTAGAGCATTAAAAACATAATAAAATGATGCAAGAAAAGTTGGTTCTGTTACTCTTTTTAACCTAGATTACAATGTAACGCTCTAAATATATCCTCTCCCCGCAAGTAACAATGACACAAAGGGCATTCAAAACTGCACTTCCTTTATACCTTGCCCCAGGCAATGTGGTTTTTATTCCAAACAGAATAAATCGAATAACTCACTTTTTCTCTTTTCTCCAGTGCAGAGTCTCACTCAACATTGCTGCGACCTCCTTCTCACAATTGCGTCATGCCTCCAGGATTATAGACCAGTCCAATACTCCTCAAAGAGGAGTGTTGGGGAACATAGGTGCATGCACTGTGCTTGCCGTGATAGGCCTACGGTTCTATTCAACAATTCTCTATGGCTTACCATGATGGCACTGTGCATGCGCGCTTGACTTCACAGTGTGTTACGGTATGAGAGCCAGGAAGTAAAATCCATGGCTCTCATACCCAGAGTGAGGGGGGCAGGGCAGGTCTGCAGGTGCTATAACAACATCAATAAGATTACGTTGTTAAAGTACCTACTGTGTCCCTTTGAGGATTTACCCCCTGCTGTAATCTGCATCCTTAACATCCACCCAAGTGCATAGTACTTAACTCTCTCTGACACAGTTCCAAGTCTCTTATTTGACAAAAACATATCAATAGGATTTTATCTCTGAAGAACCAGGAAAGAATAGGACAGTAGGACAAAGATTACAGAAATTGTGCTGTGAATCCTTATAGATCAATGAGAAACTGACAGATGCTTCCGGCACGTCTATAAAAAATAAAACTCTTCTGTAGCTAAATGCATTCCTATAAATGTTATATCATCGTAATGTATATCATACCGATACAAACTGCACTGTAATAAGAACATCATTCAAATAGCTTGCATCCAACCCAGGCATATTCTAAATAATATGCATTCTCAATATATCTATTTCTTTATACTTTGCTTCTTCTGCAAATGTATTAAAAATACCATATTCATTTTACTCTCCAATTTTCTGTAAATATCTTTTCCACATACTGAGCTTCCTAAACAAATGTATCACAATATCAGATACATTTCAACACTCCAAAAACACACACATGGAATTATCTTCCTTTGTCGGATAGAGGCAGATTCTTTCAGAATAAAAGAGATATCACGGTGATAATGGTATTTTCTAGCTGGGGTTTTGTCCTCTATGAAAAATGGATGTTTTATACAATTTCCTACTCTCCTGTAAGTGGATGCGTTTTTGTATCATGGCATGCTTTTACAATGTTCCAACATATATTTTCAAAATTGTCTATACCTTGCGTTGGCTAGCTATCCATCTATTCTGCAGTTTTCAATTAAAAAAACTAACTAACTTTGAGCATATTGGCTACTGAACACCATGGGGTAGTTAAATAACTTCTTACTGTTCCCTGTATCGTGGAATGCTGGGAGCTACCCTCAAATCCCGGACTCTGATTGGCTCATAATCTCTGGAGCCTTATGTTTTTATCAGATACTGTTACTGAGAGTGATACGTTTCCAAGATGGCCACCTCCATGAACTGTTGACAGATCTTCAAGTGACGATTCCCGCTAAACTTACTATAACTTATACATGGGTAGATATATGGGGGAGGGATATTATTAAAATAAGAATCTCCTGCGGAGGTACCCCAAATGGTCAGTTTCACTATATAAAGTGTTGCTATGATACTGTGTCTAATAGATAATAAAATCATAAGAGTGAATCCTTCAAGCAAACTCTATCAGCCGAAAAACGTAATAGAATCCTTGAAATTTGATTTCTATAGCTAATTTAAAAAAAAAAAAAATAACCCTCTTCCTTAGATATGTTATCATGGATGCAGATCATCTGTTTATCAGGACCACGGACGATGCGCTTTACACATCTCAGTACTGGAATCGACCGAGGGCTAACGGTCCTAACTCTACCAAGAACAGAACTTTGAATCCAAACTGATTGTAAATATAGAACATTAACCCAAACCTGTGCATCACACATTTATATATTCCAAAGTTGACTTAGTCTACCACAACCATCATTACAAATACTGTGTATCACGTGTCAGCATATCCCATACATGTTCTGTTCAAAACGATTCCATCTGCTCTTGGCTGAATCAGATTACATGTGTATCACTTCCAGACATATTCAGAGCACCATTTATGTGAGCCAACCCTAATCTAGACACTAGGTATGGTTCTGCACACATCGGAATCTCATTTTTTTTTTAGATTTGACAGACACACAGTTCTATTCACTAAATTGTAGTAAATCCAAGAAAATGTTAATTGAATTTCAAATTTTAGATCTAAATAGTCAAACTGGATCATTTTTCCATTTCAGCTAATTTTGCCTTACATTTGGAATTCAGTAGGAAATAACACTGACAGAAATCTATTCTCTTAATAAAGAATTGTGCTTAAACTGCAAAAAGGAACTGAGGAGAGCTGGGGAAGTAGAAGAGTTGGAGACATTTAGCATTTTGTCCTAAATTTTCCAAGTTTCTGCAAATTTCCATTTGATGTCTCCTGGAGTTGTGCCTTTCAGTTTTGCATAATTCCAGGAGACATAAAACAATTGAGTATAAAATGTCTGTTAAACAAAACACAAAAAAGTAAAACAACAGCACAATGTCAAATGCGATAAAGTATATTTTTCAAGTTTAAAAGTATTTACTTATGTCATCAATTAGTATAAAGTTATATAATTTTGTTTTACACATTTTCATGTGTTGGCTGGCTAGCAAGCGCTGGTCAGTCACCCGAATCACGAAACAAACAAAATAGCTCACCCTTTGCCTGTTTCATTCGTTTCACGATACATCCATATGGCATTTCAGGATTCTGGATGTATCACAATTCTCCTGAAACCGAAATTTCAAGTC